GGTTGAGATGATAAAAAAAAAAAAGTAAAAATAAATGATAATATTTATTTTTATTTTCGCCGAGGTTTCGGCCCAAAGAGTTCATGCATTTATCAATGTTAAGAAAAAACAGATACCAATATATATGAGAAACTATTAACATGTGGATAAAAGTTATAGTCTGGTGTGTACACTCACACGACTTTTCTACCTATTTCAGCAATGTTTTTGTCTATTTACATATGTCCATTAAGAAACAAAAAAAAAAATGAAGTACATTAGCTTTCCTGAAAATATATATGAAAGAAATAGTGAAGCTTGTGTGATCCGGGCAACAGATTTTCTTACTTACACTTAATTTTATTATCTCTCATTCACCCCTTTCTGACACCAGGATAGGAACCAGAAATCTCACATTGGAAATTGAATTGAAATTGACACAGGCGGCAATACTTTCCTTGCCTAGTATAGGTAGGAAAGTAATAAGGTAGGTAGAAAAAAAATTAAAGGAAATATAAAATAACGATAACAAAGTTAGGGATAAAAAGTAGCGGAAGCAAAGATAGGATATATAACATAACGGGAACCAAGTTAGGAAATTATGAATAAAATAATAACAGTAAAAGAGAACTATGAAATAACTAATAACGGCAAAAAGCAGGGACTAATGGAATAAGGTAACATAAGAAATGAGAAATGAATTAACAAAGAAATGTATGAGATGAAAAACGTAAGTGTAGATATAAAATAAATGGGGTGACGTATTTGCTAAATTTGTCAGTGTTTGGAACTAAAATTATTCCAAAACTCCCGAAGAATCTCACCGAATTATTTCAGCTATAAAACTGAAAAAATAGGTTTAACCGTTCGCTCAAAAATTGTTCTATACCTACAAGAAATCTAGCTAAACACATTGCTATTTATTTTTTAATTTTAGAAAATTTTCGTGTTTCGTAGAATGCTCAAGCAGAGATCATCTTGCATTAAGCACCTGCTATAGATGACTGAACGGAAAGACCAGCTTCCACGTCAGTCCCGAGGCATGATGTTGAGTCACCCCCTTGAACGTGTTATACCATCAGGTTCATGACGGGTGACCGCCCTGGGCAGCTGTAGTCTATTCATGAAACTAATCGAGGGGACAAAAAGGTCTCGTGTAGCTCATGAGTGTAATTATTCAGTCGGAATAGGGATTCATTTGGCTCATTTAATCTGTGAACGTGATATGATAATATTGGAAAAAAAAATTATTATTATTTTTTTATTTATTCATGATATTTACAACTGTACTAATAAATAAAGTACATTTAGTAAATTTGATAACAGAAAATAATGACATGAAATCACTTGTTGAGAAACTACCCACTGGTAGCACTCTAAAAACAAGATGTATTTGCAATAGGAGATCTCGAGGCCATCTTCTTTTCAGACGCCTCGGAGGGTTATTAGGGATAGAAGAGGAAGCAAGGTTAGAGACGAGAGGATTCGGATGGTTCTGAAGTTTATTATGGAAGGATTGGTATCTAAATCGGGCCAAATCGGAAACATTAAGGTCATTAGGGATTATTTTATTGGTGACAAAGTAAGGACAAAGGAGCATTGAGGATTTTCCGAAGGATTTTGGATTGTAAAAAAAATAATACTCGTCTTTTTATGTTTAAACTAGGATTACCCCAGTGAGAATTCCCACATGGTGGAATATACAATACATCCGCCAATGTTTCTGATCCTAATATTAACGTTTCCATTAAAATAATTGAAGCAATCATCAAGTTTTTTAAATTTTAGGACCAGAAACTTTTATTTTGTCACTTATAAATACACATAAATTTCTATAATATAGATCTGGGTGAAAAAGACAGTATGCAACCAATTTACCGGAAACAATATTTGAAAAATAATTATTTCTCTAATTAAATTTATTTATAAATAAAATGTGTGTTTAAGCAATTAAAGCAGGATAAAAACTATAATCATTTTTAACACAACTTCAGCTCAATCTCACATTTTTCTCCAATAAACGTCAATTTAATTAATACAGGTTTAAATCTTATGAAACGAAGAGGTTTTTGTAAAAGTGAGGTATCTGGATTTGGATTTGCTACTTTTCTGCTGAAAATTGGCCCTTCGAAGAAATAAACGTGTGAAATAGGCTTTGCGTAAAACGAGACACGTTTAACTAAATTTAGCGTAAAATACCACGTCTTTGAATAAGCAATAGTAGTTTTAATAACTAATGACCAAATTTTCTTTTAAATTAGTATGAGATTTTTTAAATAAACTAAAAGATAAACGAAATGAGCAATACAGACAAAAAAAAGTAGTTAAAATCGGACAATTAGGAGCACGGATATGGTTTCTAGATGTTTTTTATATTTTACACCGCAAAGTTTATGTCCTTTTTATGTTTTTAATTTTTGAATATGTTACTGAAGTAATGCTAATTTTTTTTTAGCGTATTATTAATGATTAAAAAATAAAAAGTTTAGTCCAATAATTGGAATCATCTTTTATTTGCTTTCCTTTGATTATCCCAAATTCATTATAATGTTAGTTAATGACTTTTTGTAATAAGCCGACTGTACTACATGCGAGATAAAAAATACAAAAATATAATATATATTTTAATGCACTATGGTATTTTAATTCTACTTACTGATATCTCATGTTATGTTCAAATTTCAAGATAAAAGAATACGTACCTGAAAAAAAAAAATAAAAAAATGAAATATAATAAATTATAAATTTAATTCAATATAGATATGTCTATATTCTGTTATAAATAAATAAATTAATGCATGCATTCTGATTACAGTTCAATAAAAGAAGGCCCTGAAACAAATGAAGGCTTGTGGGAGAATCAAATATAAACTAAGGATAGAAAATGGGTTTGTGTATACTTTAAGGTTCTTTAGAATAAATGAATATCTATTTTAGTGTATCATGCATGTTTTATTAATTAATTTAAAACTAAAATAAAAATTAGGTTATTCCCTAATGTTATGATGATGTAATACTAGTACACCACAATTGTACATCGGAATGAATGTGTTACGAATGGATTTATTTCTTATTTCATTTTTGTATGTTATTCTATTTTTTTGTTAATATTTTTCTATTTATTTATTTATCTTTTTAATTATTCTTATTTATTTCCCTATTATATGTATATGTGGTATGAAGGAACAAATTTAGTTTTAGTACTTACTGCCCTTCAATGTGGCAGATCGAATTATTTGCTATTTATTACATATAAAATTTAACATTAGTTAACTGTCTTTCTCTCCATAATGCATTTGACGTGTATGCGATATTTTCGAAAAATGTTTATTTGTTTATACAATTTTATACTGTGAAGATCAGGGTGGCTGCAGTTAAAGTAAAATTCCCTGACTTTTTCCTGACATTTTCCTATTTAATGATAGTTTTCTCTGTTGAAGCAGACCAATGTGTATGAGGACACAAATATTAAAAATATATAATTTATAACTTTTTTTTTGCTATTAATCTTTTTATTGAGATATAATACATTTTACCACACTTAAGGGTACTGAGTATTAAAGCTGTAAAGCACATTCAACCATATTTACAATATAAAAAAATAACAAAAAAAAAAAAAAAAGAAATACATAAAAATATATAATAAGATAATAATGTATATATAACAAATATAAAAACTGTAATAAAAACAAAGAAATATAGATTGTAATGAAATTATACAGAATATTCATAAGGAAAAAATGAAAAAAAAAATTAATAAATAAATATTAATGATAATAAATTATTAGAAATGAGCAAATAGAAAAAAACAAAACAACGGAAACAAAACTAACAGTCGTGCTTAATTACAAATTTATAACTAAATGTATTTATTATACATGAAGAAAAATTGACTACAAAATGAATTGAGTTAAAAAAAATTCAGTCTTTTAAAAAAAAAATATAGTGTTTCAGAGGAAGCTTTTTTTTCAATTTCATTAGGATTTTTTTAATTATTTTTATTTCAACTTAAAGACTATGGCAGTTATTGACAATTAATAAGGTTGAATATAGCGACTGTGGGTGTCTATAAGGACACCCATTTGTTTCCAATTTGAAAAAAATATTTACATACTAAAAAAAATCAATGGCTTCTCCCTGTTTTGAACATTCCCTGACTTATTGCATTTTTCCGAGTTTTCTAGGTCGGCCGCCACCCTGTAAGATACAATTTAAATACGCACAATGTGGCGAACCTTGCTACTATAATACGACTGTTGAAGTAACAATGCACTTAGTAAGTGGTTATCTATTCTCCTCCATTTATTTTTTTAAGTGCAACGAGTATCGTAAATAGAAATATTTTAATTTTTAAAACCTAACGTGCGATATCATAGACCATGGCTACCATAGATACTAAGAGGCTTTCGACAAGAATCACTATCTACCTTTAAAATAGGATATTGTTGGCTATTAAAAAACAGATAGGTTTTAATTTCTTCAAACATTCAAAATCAATTTATTCTGTCTCTTTATCTGTCAACTTTTGAAATCATCTAAATTTTGACACCTCCCATTTTTTTCAATGACTTCTGTTAATAAATAAAAAAACAATCCATGAAGGGTATTGGGTTCAGTATTATGTAAGCAAGTACTGTCTCTTGGTCAACGGTTAAAGCAAGGAGGTGATTTGACCAGGATCATGCCCATAATTAATTAAGAGTACGAGGGTCGAGTCCTAGTAGCGAGTCCTACCAGCGCCATTGAAACAGAACAAATAATAGCCTGTTATCAGCCGGATTCGAAGTTAACCTACTCCCCTTCTGTTGTTGTAGCAAGATTTTATTTTTTGAAATTGGAAATAGTCATTTCTCCATGAAGTTCTCTTTCGTTGATAGCTCGTTCATCAAAATCCATTGATCCTGAGAGCCGGAAAATGGATCTATAGTGCCGTATTATATATAGTGTAGATGCAGACTGTTGCTCGACCAAAAAGGTAGGTTCAACTTGAGTTTGTTCCTATTAATATTGCACAATAGACTTTATTGAAGCAACGACATGCTCCTCCAAGATAGGAACTGATAGCCTCTGTGGAAACTGGAATGAGCTGCCCTCCTCCGAAGACCTGGCTGAAGGACTACAACAAAGGGTGCCGTTGGAGATATCCAATAAGAAGAAACAAAACTAAACAAGTTATTGAGTGGAGCAATTGGAGCATCCTTATCAGGACGCCTACGACCCCCCACCTCTCCCAGCCTCTTGATAATGACTAAGGTCTCTTCCTCCCCACTGAACTCCTTCGCTCTCCTTTTGTCACGATCAAGGTGCGATTTCCATGAGCAGTCAGAGAGAGGAGCGTAAAGATGTGCTGCTACATGTGTAGAACTATCAACAATACAGTGCAAGGAATATAGACTATTTTGGCTTCGATAGTTCGGTTCTCACGAGTCATGATAAATGAATGGCTCCAGGCATTCATTAAGTAGCCTGAGTATATACATATATTACTGTTAGTAATGTATGTATTGGTTTATTATTTTCAATAATCAACCCTTGTGATCGACCAAAAAATACAAAAACTTAACCCCTCTCAAAATTTGAAGTTTCATGTTTCAGGATGCGTAGAATTCGAAAAACGAATAAAAACTTTTTTGACCGTCCGCCGTCCGCGCATTTTCTCCGAAACTACTGGACCGATGTTTTAAAAATTTGGATATAAAATCAGAAGTCACCCGAGGATGATCCTCCTTCATCGACATTACTATCCGCCTTTTAATTTCAAAATGGCAGCCGAAAAACCTGCGTTGCTATAGACTGTAGCTCCTAAACGAATGTACCGATTTCAATGAAACTTCGCTAAAATAATTTTCTTGACGCCCTTTAAATTTATCTATATAACATACTTCAACGAAAAGAATCAGGAAAAAAAGTTACGAGGGATGGTAAAATTTAATGGCTTTTCAAAAGTTTACGGAATTTCCTAAAAATCAAAAAAAAAAATCTTCAAAATCAGACAATTAGGAGCAAAGATATGGTCTCTAGTTTTTTTTTTTATAAGTTTTACTCCAAATGTTATATCCTTCGTTTGGTTTTATATTTCGAATCTGTTACTGAAGTAATACTATTTTTCTTTTCGCATATTACTAATGATTAAAAAAAAGTTTTAGACCAATAATTGGAAACACATTTTATTTATTTTTCTTTGTAACTAGGAAGGTAATGAATGTTACTTTAGATGTATAGTTGTTTGGAAATCATAAACCATTGTGAAATAATTTGCAGCGTTTCTAAATTGTAAACAAATATTAGAAGGTTAGAAAAAAAAATTCAGAATTTAGATCTTTACGTCAATAGTTCCATTGCGATTAGTTGGCAGCCGCCCTTATTCATTAAGTTGAAATTATTTTTATTCCCCTAGCTCTTCAATATAACAAAATATTTACAACTTAGAATATTAAATTATTAAATAAATATTTTGTCAGTAATATTTTAGATTCAGGAAAAAAAGGATTGAGTTTCAACTTTACGCCGCATGAATTCCCCTTCGGGCTGCAACCTAATCAGGATAGAAAAAAATACTGCAGCTGTACCTAGTGATGTTGAATGACATATTTTATTTCACGGTGGAATGACCTCTAATTAGATAATTTATTATGAACGATAAAATATCTATAATATAAGTGTATAAGTTTACCAGCAAAAGTGCACGCAGCTTTTATATTAAGGAGGGGACAAGACTGAATAAAAGAAAATTTCAGGTAGATAAATTATTACAAACTCTATAATATTATACTACGTAGTTGGCTGTTATTACAATTTATAAATAGTTTTACATGAAACACAATATATACATAGAACAAAAATTTTTAAAAACTATTTTTCTTGGATTTTCAGCAAAGCTATCGTATATTATATAATTTTTTATTTTCATTCAAATTATTAAGGAGGGCAACGTCACAACTCCATTCACTGCGTACGCTCATGTTTACAACACTAAGCCATTTTGCAATCTTCGACTAAGAAGCTCTAGGCTGATAATTCCCTGTAATGTTCCATATTTCTATATTGCTATTTTTATACATGTTATGGGAAAGCATATCAGAAGATTATTGTTAATATTTTTCAAAATTCTTTTATTGTGAATTCATTTTTAAATGATTACAAAGTCATTTAATAATTCATACGTGTTATTTATTTTTTTTACAGTTGTATTTTTATTTATTTTATTATTATATTTTAATTTTATTTCTATAATTGGATAATAATTTATAAATAAAATTTTGTTTATCTTATAATATTTGTGATTGATCCAGGCCTTCCTTGAATTCGAAATTACAGAACTTTTTCATTCATTCGTTCACAAAAAAAATCTTTGTAATGAAACTTAAGCCCATAGGAAAAATAATAATGTATAAAAATTTAAACATTTTTTTCTTATCTTTCCTCGCATTTTAGGCTATACGCGGGTTTCCCAGGCCAAGGGGTGAGGGCGGGGGATTAAACCGAGACGGAAACTCGTACTTTCTTCCGTATAACCTTGGTTATCAGGCTGCCGGGCAACGCGCTGTGCTGTACAAGTAATGATGAATTCAAAATTTTATTTGTGAATTACTCAAAAGGTACACTAATGCTACAGAACTATTTTAGAACTTGAGACCATCTTCTTTTCAGACCCCAAGGAGGATTAACAAGAATCGAGGGGGAAGCAAATAATTGAGTTCAGATGTTTCCGGAGTTTATGATGAAAGGAATCTGAAGGATTCCAGTTAGTGTTGCCCAAAATCGGTCTTGGTCTTGCACTTTGCGAGACCAAGGCCAGGGTCGCCTAACTGTTGCAATACCAAGACCAAGGGACTGGTAAAAAAATCGATTTTTCAAAATAAAAATTAAGGCAAAATAGTTACTAATACTCGACAATTTTAGTTACTATATGTTAATAATTGGTATAACCAATATACTTTTTCTATACTATCAATATACTTCTAAATTTTCATTGGGGCTTAGTTAGGTTTCTCCTATCTAAAAAATTACAGTAATAACTCCTATAGTAGTAAGCTGATAAGTAACTGCAAGACTGTTGCGAGACTCTTGCTCAAGACCAAGGCCAGGACTTCGAATAAGTTTGCAAGACCAAGCTCGTCTGGATCTCGCATTTGGGCAACACTAATTCCAGTTGACCTGGAACAGGGTCTCTAACAAGCTGCTGCTTAGGCTTTTTTTTATTTTATCGATAAAACTTGGTGGGAGATTAATTCTCAATATCAATATTGAAAATAGTTCTTAATTTGGACAAAATTATTCCTATTGTCCGATAAGTATAATTCCAATTTTGTTTTAATGATTGAGTCAGGGAAAACCATAGATATCGAAAAAAAACAACGCAAAGTATACCTTGGAGTAACTGGATGTTAAAGAGACTGTAAGGTCCCAAGTGAGTGTTAATTGATGAGAAACCGGGCGGTAAGGGACTGTCACATTGACCACACTAATGGCTCTAAGGACCTCTTAAGTGTTTTTTTTATCGTCCTCTTTGAGGAGCTTCCAAGAACAATCGAATTGCCATAGTATATATCATACATTAAAATATATATTATTACTATTTTTCTTAATAATTTTTTATTATTACAAATAAATCATATGATAATAAAAATGATGGGGGTGATCAATAATAAAAAAAATAAAAACATTTCGGCCCATACTACACAACTTCTTCAGTGCCACTAAGAGCAAGCTAATATCAAAGAAGTGTACTAAATAAATACTTTATATTTGTATAAATCTTTTTTTATTTTATTTATTGGAATTTACAACTGCATTAAATAAATATAATTTATTTATAATAAAAATAAATCTCCCAGGCATTTATCAAGCACGTCACTCAATCAATATTCTACAGAAAATTATAGACAATCGGACGAAATTGACTCTTTAAGTCCACTAGCGGATCCAAGATTTAATTTTTTTTTTTTTTTGGTTTGGGAAGCTTCAGCCCGAAGGTTTTTTTTGTTAAATATATAAGGATTGATACTTTAGAATTAGAATAAATAAAACAAATACCTAAATGAAATGGTATTTAATTTATTCTTGAAGTGTTACTGAATGTAAGCATATGAACAATAACACTGTTTTCATATCTGTTTCATAAGACAAATGAATTTTATATTTATATTTTACCATATTTAGGTAGAGAGGGTGGAGGGAGGGGGACTTAGCCCGAAAGCCCACCCAGTAGATTCGCCTGTACTTAAGTCTCACGGAAGGTTACAGCCTATTGAGGCAACCCGAAATAAAATCATTTGTCGCCTCTATCGCTTGAACATATGATTCTTTATTCTTTGTCTCTGAACACATAAATCAAACAAAAGAATGACATTACAAAAAATGAAAATATTCTATTAATCAATCGATCTCACATTCACTGGTTATCATTAGCATTATGACAGGTGTGAATAAAACATTAAAGCTAAAAAAAAAAATGAAAATAATACAGCCTATCTCTGGACATTAGTAAATTTCAACTGACATCAATATTATAGATTAGTATAAAATTATAACATGTTTACTTCTGAAAACTACTTCTTGTATAAGGTAGAGTCTATTTGAAAAAAAATATATATGTTAGCTTATTAAGAATATGTAGCCAAGAAAACATCAAACGTCACATGGAAAATACAGCTTCACTTCTTAAAACGAAGGAACTACTTTAACAATGGAAAGCATATAAAAGGCATGTTTAGAAAAGAAAATCCGTTATGAGAAGTTAAATATGTGCAATTAAAAAAATTCTTATAAATACGTTTTTAATAAGGAACCTTCTTTCGGAAAAATCATTAATTCCCATAAAGATCAAACTTTTTAATATATATGTATATATATATTACAGACAAAAATATAAAGAAATAGAGTCATCTTTACAGCGAATTTGGTTTTTCATTACAGAAATAAATTTTCAAGAAGAGTCACGAAATATGGGTATTATAATTAATGACTAAAATATGATTAAATTTGGAACCGAACAAGCAGTTGGGAATTATCCAGCAATATTTTCGCTGAGCAGCCGATCTTTTAAGGTTGCTGACAAAGCAACCTATAGGTAACCGAAGAAATTCATCACTAATTATTTTTATTTTTTCATCTTTTCGAAAACGAATGATACACAAAGAAACACTTAAACAACTTTTAATTTTTTACTAAACAGTTTTATTAAAATAAAATATTTAGAACTGAGAGCCTCAAAGATCTAACCCTTTGGGAACGTAAAACCCAGGTGCTCAGGATAAGCGAATGAAATCAAGTTGAATAGAGAGGACTTAGTGAAAGGTAGCCCATTGCCAAAGGGTAGTGTAGCAATCCCTCTTTGAACTACATCTT